AGGGTCCCTGGGGGCTTGGTCCCCTCCCCGCCCTAATTCCTTTCTAGGTCACCTCCCTGGTTACCATGGCAACCCCCAGCTTAATTACTGGGGCCGGAGGCGGCAGGGTGGGAAAGAGCCTGCCTAATGAAGCCAGGGTGCAGCTCTAGTCTCGGACCCCCCAAACTGGCCTCAGTCCTGAGCTCTGGACCCTTCTCTTGCCATGTCCCCAAAGGGTCCCATGATCACTCCCATATGTAGAAGGCCCCTTGAGGGGTAACTAATTCCGGAAGAGGGTGGGAGTCTGAGAGGGCTTGCCAGGGTCCCTGCCCCTGCAGCTCCTCCACGATGCAGCCAGTGCCTGTGCTGGCGTCACCCCTGGCCTCCAGGCCCTCCTCTTTCTTGACACCTGCAACCTCTGACCAGCCTGGGCACTCGGGCAAATGAGATCCAGGCCTGGGCCTCCACAGCTGGTCCCCAGGGCCTCTGCCCGCCTCCCTCATGCCGCTAGGAACTTCCCTCCTGGCAGAAGGTCAACCAACAGGTCACTGAGACACTCCCCTCCATCCCCCCACGGACAGCTTCCTGCCTCCTGTCTCTTAGGACCTTCTATGACACCTCCTTCCACCAGCTTTGGCCAGGAGCTCCTAGGTGGGCAGTGCCCCCTCTGTGTCCTCCCCCAATCCTATTCTTCCCTTTGTTCCTGAACCTCCAGTGGCCTTCCAACAGTTCAGGCTGGTCTCCTTCCCTCCGAGGTCCTGTCCTAAATGTCCTCACTCCTTCCGGCTCCTCCCCATCCAGCACCTCCACTCCCAGCAAGGGGGGGGGAGGAGTCAGAAAGGGGAGGAGCAGGAAGGGGGGCTGGAGCGACAAGAATTCAAAACCAACAACAAAAAAGAGGACCAAGAAAGAAGAAAGAAAAAAACAACAACCAAAAAACAAGAAGCTCTCGGGGCAGATTCAACAAGAAAAGAAAAAAACCCCCAAAAAACAAGAAACCAAAAAGATCCGTTTTTGGAAAAAAAGAAAAAAAGAAAAGAGTTCTTTGCACTTTTTCAAAATTTTGTGGTGAAACTTCAAGATATTGGGCCCTGTTTTCAACAATGTCCAAATTCTTTAATTTGCTTCGTGTGCATTTTCTGCATCGGACAGGCTTTTTTTTGGAAACTGTAGCAGGTTTCTGCTCTTTCAATTGTGTCATCAATTTGCCAACTTAAACTTGTTTTTTTCAAATGTTATTTTGCTCCAGATTAAAATTGTTTTTTCAAATGTTATATTTTCCAAGTTTCAAAACAGTCCAAATGTCTTGGGCTTCCCTGGTGGCGCAGTGGTTGAGAGTCTGCCTGCTGATGCAGGGGACAGGGGTTCATGCCCCGGTCTGGGAAGATCCCACAAGCCGCGGAGCGGCTGGGCCCATGAGCCATGGCCGCTGAGCCTGCGTGTCCGGAGCCTGTGCTCCGCAACGGGAGAGGCCACAACAGTGAGAGGCCCGCGTACCGCAAAAAAAAAAAAAAAAAAAAGTCAGAGGTGGCCTGAATGAAAAATTTACTCTAAATACCTCGACTAATCTTTCAGTTTCCACATAATCATGACATGGAACAGCTCTTTGCCAAAAAATATTTATTCTTAAAATTTACTTAAGCGTTTTGTAGAAACTTTAGTAATAGCCAGAATAATTCATGTCAGCTTAGCAAACTCTTAACAGCAAGCAGAAAGAGCTTATGAAAAGATCCTGTCTTTACACAGTCATAGTTAGGGCAGTATTTTACTTCGTCTCTTCATTAATAGCTTTGCTTTCACACTGAAGTCTTCAGACTATTCTGTATATACATTCAACCCCTATTTTCCTGTAACCAGTTTCCCAAGGAAGATATGCGTGGTTCACAAAGGGATCTTTAAAAGGTGATAAACTATAGCAAATGTTAGTTAACAAATGAGTCTCAGCATATGGAAGGAGAAAGTGTTTCTAAGTATTTCTATAAAAAGCATGTCCGTGGGGGGGGTGGTGGGGGGATGAACTGCGAGACTGGGATTGACATGTATACACTGATGTGTATAAAAGTGATAATTAATAAGAACCTGCTGTATTAAAAAATAAATAAAATAAAATAAAATAAAGCAGGTCCATATTTCATGCTGTTTGCAAACCGATAAAACCTATTCCTCATAGGCAGATAAATGCTTTCCTTTCTCAAAAGGCCTGCTTCCCCTTCACTACCCACTCTACCAGGTCTAACTTGGGTTTTTCCTGAGAGCTTCTATACCTCTTGTCCTTTAAGGAAGGGGACAGGAAAAGCTTCTGAGCCGAGTACCCTCTTTGATCCCCTTGTCTATGCTGACCCTCACATCCCCTGCCAGTCCTGATTCTCTCACTCTGACCAGCTCGGTCAACTCTAAGTAGAGGTGTCTAGGGAGCAAGCTAAAAGGTTAAGATCAATGAGTACATCCTTTTAAAGAAATCCATGTGGCTGTTTAAAGTTCATACAATTATTAATTGAGGATGATCAAACAATGCTATTTACCGTGCGGAAAACCAGCCCTCTGGCCTTATAGCGCAGTCATTTCGTTGTGAGACAAGGTGCTAATCCCTTTCAGCTCTCAGGGGAGTACAGTTTAATCAGATGCTGTACTTGTGTTGGATAACCTGTGATGGGACAAGCTCGGTGACTCTTCACGTAATTAAATACACAGCGATAAAAAAACATAGCCAGAGGTGGCGAGAACGGTGTCATTCACCCGGTTTTTACGACACAGTCTTCATTTGGGGCAACAGGGGAGAATCAGAATTGTAGTCTAGATGTACCGGTGGTGGTGGAGTAGGCAGGGCAGTCAATGACTTGATGGTTTCTTGGTTTCCGGATGAATACCACCACTCAAGGAACTGCAGGAAGAATACACCCACCGAGAGGCCAGTAGAGAGGCATGAGGCTGCACCTCCCACGGCTTGCTTCAGAGCTGACTTCATCTTCTCGCCAACGCCGTTTGGAGAACAGAACAAGGAGGCAAAAGGAGAAACTGTTTATTTAGGTACAATCACAGAACAACTAATACGCATGCAATTCTTACACTTTTCATTAGAACCGTTGATTGAGCTTGGGGATTGAATAGTTGCTGGACTGGCGTTTTCTCTTGTAAGAGTCTATTCGAAACAATTCCCTCTTTCTGACCTACCATATTTTAGGAGTTCTAGGAGCTAAGCTTTGTTTTTAATGACTAGGGCTTTGTTTGCTTTGTGTTTTGAGAAAGAAATTAATGAGCCATTGATTATATAGACCTTTTATGTGGGTGGAAGATGGTATACCCAGAAAAAGAAATAACTCACTTAAAAAACAACTCAGCAGTACTGAGGAATATATTTGAACTTGTCAGAGAACACAGACACTAGGAGCGGGATAGCACCATGGTTAAGAGCAGTCTTCAGAATTGTACTGATCTGGCTTGAATCTCAGTTCTGCCGCCTATTAGCTGTGTGGCCTTGGCAAGGTACTCAAATGTTAGAACTTAGTTTCCTCAACTGTTAAATGGTGCTAATGCATTTATTTCATTGAGCTGTGATGAGGATTGAGATAATATACCAGGCCCTTTGCTAGGTGTTGGTACATAGAAAGTGTGTGCAAAAATGTAGCCAGTATGATGAGGAAGGTTACCAGGATGGCAATCCTTGTTTTATGGACACAAGAATTTTTCGATGATTTTATGAAATAATCCAAAGTGGACTGAGGGAGGTAAATTTCATAAAATTGGGATAAGATTTTAGGATTTATTAATCAAATATGTTGGAGAAATGTTAAGGCCTTACCTCCCAGCTGGTTGCTGCATCATGCTGGCTCCGGCTGGTTTGTGCTCCAGAGCTTGTATATCCTGAACTGTAAGTCGGCCTAGCTGAAACCCAGCCAGACTCAGCAGTGGTGAGTGATGCTAAGCCTTTCCTAGCATGTATCGAAGCTGCTGTACAAGAAACCAGCCTTCCCAGGCCATGTTAACAAATGGGTAGGCTGCCAAAAAGGCTCTGTAAAATCGTTTCCAGCGGGAAGTAGGAGGATGGATGGAATAGTCATCCTCTTCTCTCAGGCTAGAAATCAGCTTCTCCAGCTTCACTTTCAGACTGGGAAGAAGAACCAGGAAAATAACTGACTCCCAAAGCTGCTTCTTTGGGAGACCAGCACTGGCCAGTCTCTGAAGCTTGTGTGTGTCTCCCATTACGATCCCCTTTAAGCCATAAAAGTTTTCAGAAAACGAGGCGCTGGTTTTAGACAGATAATGTTGCTGGAGCAGAAGATCTAGCAGCGTGAAGATTTCATCAAACCACTTGCACAAGAAGCCGTAGCGGGCAGGATTTGATTCTGCAAGAACCTAAAGCAAAATAAATAAATGAAATTCATTCCATTACACAGCTACTATGCCTTGTATTTATATTTCCTTTTTTTCCCTTTGAATTTCCACACTTTTCTTTCTGGGTCTACCTTAACCTCCCTGAAGTGCTGGGTATTCAGTACACATAACAAGAGACTCCATAACCATTAAATCATGTGATGTGCATTATATGCTAATTGGTTATTTCAAAACTTAGGCCAACAAATAAATTCAGATTACTGGTTTGGTTTTTACCCAGACGTTCCTAAAACTTTTCAGAGAATTAAATCCTTACCTCGAGCACATGCTGAAGAGCAGGTCTCACTGCTGTCATTAAACTGTCCTGTGCTACCACCTCAAAGATGGCTGGCTGGCTGGTCATCCACTGCAGAAGCACTTGTGATGTGAGCCCCGTGCTCAGCCATAGTTCCGTGTGTGCACTGGCTTTTACTTTGCCCACAAACTCTCTAGTAAGCATGAACTTTCTGGGGGTGCCAGATGGGTGCTATTTTACAGGAACTGGGCAAAAAAGACCTCTTCCGGAGGCAGAGGGGAGGGGTCTCAAGTGAAGGTGAAGAATGAAGTCAACGCGGACACCTACGTTAGGGAAGTTGTGTGTGGGAGAGGTGAGTTGATTAATGCTGCACCTCACAGGGAAAAGCGGGACTATGGGGGGACAGGTACGGCGAAGGAGCGCTGGCCTCTCGAGCGGCAGTCCTGGAGGCGGCCAATCACGGACTCCCAATCCGGAGGGCTCAAAAGCCAGGCGGCTGAGGGATCGAAGGTGCCAGTGCAGGCCGGCCCCAACGGCCTGGCTCAGCTGTGGGCTGTGCAATCCCCCCGCCCGCGCCAGTCCTTGCGAGCTGACCCCAGGCGAGGGGCGAGGAACCCGCGACGCCGCGTTTAAAAGGAGGTCTCGGCTTTATGTCAGAAGCCGCAACCGGAAATAGAAGCCGCTTGGAACCCTGTGGCCGTGGAGAGGCGCTCTAGCCCCGAACGCGGCCCCGCGACCGGAACTAGAGAACTCTATGATCTCACAGGGACTTCCGCTTCGACCCCCAGCGGGCCCAGTTGGAGAGGAGTTTTCTGCTGGTTGGTTTTACTTTTCTTAGCTGGCTTTGCATCCTATCCTATAGATAGGATAGTAAGAGGTCATGTAGATGTATCTAGTTGTGCCATGTCATTAAGGAGAGTTCGTAGTTCTCGATCTTTAACTTAAAAGGTTAATGCTAGTCTTGTTGGAAAGCCACAGCTCTGATATCTCTCTACGGAGTCTGTTTGGCAAGGTGTTGGGTCGCCGCACTGACGTCTGGCGCTCGGAGCCAGAGCTCGGCCTGTTGCTGAGGCCTTTGTTCCCTGGGGCGATAGAGATAGAGGCGAGGGACCCAAGGGAATGTGGAGATGGAAGGCTCACTTTGCTTGCGGCGGGGGTGGTGGCTCACTATTTTTGCCGCCTTCGGCAAGGATTTGAAGCGACAAAGACGAGATAGAAGCCTTAGCCTTATGGCTGCCAATTATTAACAACAAAAAAAAAATTCCTGCTCTTCAGAATTTGGGACGATTATTTTTCATTCAAGCTGGTACCTTAATTGTCTTCTAGGTTAGGTTACGTTCAAGCAGAACTCTAGGCACTTGCTACACTAAATGAAAATGGTTCCTACCCTCGAACACGGTAGGATGCGTCACATTAGCGATATGAATACAGTGCTAAAACGGAGTGATGCTGTTGAATTCTAACTAGCATGAATTGGGGAGGCTTGGCAGAGAAGGTACTTTTCATTGTATACCAAAGTTAATGTAATTAACCTGACCTTTTGCAAACTGCTTTTACATCGTATGCAATTGCCTTGAGTAGCTGCAGGTTTACTGAATTTGGATAATAGTTAAAGTTCATCTCCTCTCTCTCCAACCTCTCCCCTCACCCCCTGGGTTAAATAGCTAGAAATAGAGGTTTGCTTACTTTATGCCATAGAGGACGTTATGGTATAAAGATAGTTAATTGTTTCACATAATGAGAACGCTGGAACAAGGTTTGGGTTTAGTTGTTTCAATAAGAGAAATAAAATCTTGCAAATTAACCTTAATTGTGGTTCCAAAAAGTGTTTCAGGGAATTCCCTGGCGGTCCAGTGGTTAGGACACTGTGCTTCCACTGCAGGATGCATGGGTTGGATCCCTGGCCAGGGGAACTAAGATCCTGCCTGCAGCGTGGCCAAAAAAAAAAAAAAAGTGTTTTATAGTCTGATTGGATACCTGCTGGAGAAAGTCACATTGATGGAAGACTTTACCTTACAGCGTTTTAAGGAGTAGAGATAATGTATCTATATAAAACACCTAGCTTTAGGTTCTTGGTCAGTGGTAGCTCTTACAGAGAGGCTTTTCTTAAGTGAACAGCAAAAAAACAAAGTTGAGAAATAGCATCACCTAAGATGAGTGGGAAGTTAGTTAAACATTGGTATCAGTTAGGGTTCTTTGGTTACAAGCAACAGAAAACAGGCTAATTTAAACTAAAAAATTTATTAGAAGAATATGGAGTAGCTAATAAAATAAGGAAAACCAGCTCTGAGGGAATAGGAATTACACAGTCCTCCTGGATGTTTCTAGCAAGAATTAGCAAAGTGTCATACAGGCATCGTTGTTGCAATGAACGAGCTTCAACAAATTTCTGTCACTGTACTTATGATTCAGATCCCTATTGACTGACCTTGGTTCAGATTTCATCTCCACTCCCTGTTTCACTCTTAGCCAGAAGAGTGCAAGACACCTTAATAGTCCTTTGAGGGTATTCCAAAAGTAAACTGATGTTGTTATGTGAGAAAAAAGGCAGTCAAAAATAACAATGTCAATTATTACAGCCAATAAATAATAAACACCTCATCACAGATCCCACTCCCAGGATTATGGTGTAATAAGCAAGACACAAAAATAGATTGCACTTATGTTAAAAGGTGTGAAGAGCCATCAGATAGGTTAATATGGTGAGTTTAGAGGAAGAGACAGTAACAGCTGGGAGAAATGAGGCCGTTCAAACTAGCTTAAACAGAAGCTATATTGGCCTTTGTAACCAAAGGGAAGATCGTTTCTAACCTCACGTTTTATCTCAGCTTCTTTCTGCCAGTTGCTTTCTAATACAGCGATGTAACCTGGTATCTCCTGCATCTTATATCAGGACCAGATGTCCACTGAGAAAGTTTTGTGGATTAGGTGGACCTCAAAAGATGAGTACATTTGGGGAAAGTCACAGTCATGGTGACAGGGTTTTCCAGGCTAAGGGAGCAGCATGGATTGTGTTTGAGGAGGAAATTGTTTGCTTTAAATATAGAGAGGAAAATAGGCCAATAATACATAGTCTATACTGTTGACCATAATACAGAGGCTCTTAAATGCTAGTTTTAGTGCTTTGCTTGTTGACATTCATTCATTTATTCCTGAATAATTTACTTATTCATTTATTCCTGAATACATCCTGTGCGCCAAGCATTATGCTAGGTGCTGGGTAGACAGTAGTAATAAAAACAGACTTGGTATCTGCCCTCATGGAATTTACAGTCTAGTTGGGGAGAGAGATAATAAACAAGTAAAGAGACTAATATATAATTTACAAATGGAATAAGAGGGCTATGATGGGGGTGGCAGTGGGGCCTGGGAGAGAAGAACCTTTTAGACTGGGTAATCAGGGAGTGCCTTTATGAGATTACAATTAAAATGAGACCTAAATTATAAGCCAGCCAGCCCTGTGTGGAGTTGGGGAAAACAAATATTAGGCAGGAGGAGCGGTAGTTGTGAAGGCCCTAGGATGGGAAAGAGCTTGGCCTATTTGAGAGCTGCAAAAGCTAGCAAGAGGTGAAATGAAGAGGAAATGAGGACTGACTGAAAAGGATAAAATGATATTAAGAGAGGTAGACAGGAGCCTAACCAACCATAGGCCATGGGAAGGAAGCTGGATTTTAGTCAAAGTATAATGGGAGGTCACTGAAGGATTTATACACCGGAGTCATGACCAGGTTTATGTTTTTCAGATGACCCCGTAATGGTTATGTGGTTACATTTACTTTGTGAAAATTCATCAGGCTTTATATTTTTGGTGTGCAGTTTTTGGAATGTTCGTTTATACTTCAAAAAAAAGTGAAACAAAAATCTGGCTGCTGTATGAATAGTGGTCGGGAGGAGAGCTGAGGTGTCTAGTAGTTCAGGCAAGAGGCGATGGTGGCTTGGAATAATGAGGTGAATAGAAGGGATTGGATGAATTTGAAATATATTTTGAAGGTAGGATTGACAACTTGGAGATGGAATGAATGTGGCAGTTAAGAGAGAGAGAAGTCAAGAATGACCCCCAGATTTCTGGCTAGTAATTTCTGGCAGTGTAACTTGTTCAAATAATTGCAATCATAGCAAATATTTACATAGTCCATACTATGTGCAGGCATAGTTCTAAGTGCTTTACATACACGAATTCATTTCATCCTTGTAATAATATTATGATTGGTTATTAGTATTTCTCCCATTTTATAGATGAGAAAACTAAAGAGCAAAGAAATGGGGAAAACTGGGAGAAGGATAGGTTCTGTACAAATTAGGAAATGAGGAGCTGTTGAAAGTTTCTGAACCGGGGAGAGGTATGAATCAAAGATTTTTCTGGTGGCATCTCTTTACAAAATCCACCTCTGTCTTCTATGAGTTGTACCTGGAACCCCAGTTTTTAAACACCCCCCCAGTACTCTTATGAGTTGCTTAATTTGGGTGGGCCATATGTTCAGACTTATGATCAGTGCGGTTAGCAATTTGGTGGTGAAGTTTGGGGACTAGGTCACGGCTAGAGATAGATATTTTGGAGTCATATGGGTAGGAAAAATGATTGAACCCATGGTATTGCTAAAGGGTTAGTGTAAAGAAAATGTATAAATATAGAACTTAAAAATAAAATGCTTGCTACTTTCTCCCTCAGATACCATCCTATATCTCTTCTCTTTCAGCCATACTTTCTTATGGAGTTATCTGTTTTCATTTCCTTACCTCCCATTTATCTTCAAACTTCTGCAGCATGGCTTTTGCCTTCATTATCTCTGCTGATGGTCTCAGCAATGACATCGAAGACCTTTGTGCTGCTAAATCCTTGGACACTTTTCGGCCCTTCCTCCTTTTCTCTATAGCAACTCTCTATAGCAACTGTTGTTGTTGACCACTCACACATTTATCCATTCAACAAATTTTGGGGAGGGGGCGGCTAGGCCTCGGAGATATAGTATATAGTTCCTATACTTTGATAGAACTCTAAAAACGTCCTAAATGATTATGACCACCTGCTTTTCCTTCTACCTCTCTACTTCTCAGTCCCCTTTGCACTTTGGTTTCCCAACTTCTGCCTCAGACTCTCATTCTTCACATTCCTCTTCTTTTTTTGGTTAAAGACTTTATTATGACTTAGAGCAGTTTTAGGTGGGAAGTTTTTGTTTTGAGGGGAAGGTACAGAGATATCTAGGTCTTGGTTTCTGAAAGAAACTTGCTTTCGTGTAAGCACGCCTATTACATGCTGGGCGCCTTACCTACTTTAAGCTTCACAAGCTGGAGAGAGTTATATCACTGGATTTATTTCACAAGTAAGACTGAGGTTGAGGAGACGTTAAGTAACTTTCCTAATCACATTCAGGACAGGGATTCGGTCTCAGATGGATTCAAACTCAG